ATATATATGTACACATTAGACTTTTTTAAAAAAGATATTTTGTTTAGAAACATAGTAAGTAAAAAATAACACAGGAGGGCCGGGAATTTAGCTCAGTGGTTCAGCTGAATTCAATCCCCAGTACCACAAAAAACAGGAAGTATGTGGATGTTATAAAATTTTGAGACTGACTATAGACAATTAAGTTTAGGGAAAATTTATTGTTAAATATCTTTGCTGTGAAATGCTCATTCATACTATTGGTGCTGGGATCAGTTACTTATTTCCCTCTCTTCACTCCTATGACTATAGCACTGACTTAAGCAATACCTTCTAGGTGGTTATCTGCTCTCCCACCTTCCTTCTTTTCTCCCTTCCTTCCTTTCTTCCTTCCTTCCTTCCTCCTTTTTCTTTTTTTCTTTTTCTTCTTGCTCACTGTGTCAGAGCCTTAGGTGGATACTCTACTTCCGTGAGACCAAAAAAATGTTGAGCTTGGCCTGAAACCAGCTCACACAATTCATCTTTCTCCAGTGGCTTTCCAGGGCTAAAAATGAGACCTTTGACACCAGCCAAGAGTCATCTCTTCTAATTTTTTTCTATTAACTACTTAGAAGTAAAATTTTCTACACTTCAAGGAAATAAAGCAGGTTACTTGCCTAAAATATCTCAGTAATAAATAAAGGTGACTGTTACTTTTCAAGGTTGTGCTTTATGTTTTTGTTTTAAACTCTGTACATTCAAAACTATACAGTAATATTTATGTTGCATTTCTTGAGAAAGACCTTTAAATCAGTTCATGCAGAAGAATATTGTGTGAGCAGGGATTAAGACAGGCATCAAAAAGAGGTGTCTGTATTCAGTTAGGACTATTTAAAGAAAAAACTTAACTCTCCTCTGGCCCAAATAGTATTTTTTACAATAGTTTGCACTTTTCAATGTATCAGCTCATGAAATTTTAACTGCAAAGTTATTGCTATGTGTGCAGATTGCGGTGGGGGGAGTTGTGGGTGTATACCTGAAATCTTCATTTTGTAGATGAAGAAACTAAGGCTCAAATTTGCATAATTGTTCAATGTCAGAGCAAAAATTTCTGCTTAAACTGCTGATAACACTTTGTCCACTCTGCACCACCTGTGAGGTCCCACTCCATTTGCACAAATTTTCTAACTGTACTTTTGTGATATATGTAAACTTTCAAAACCACCCCAGATTTTAGGTAGCATGAGGAGACTTGGGAGTTATGAGATCTTAAGAGTCTGGGAATAGCAAAGGATAAATAGTATGCAGGACATCCAGATAAAAAAGCTTATGGATCTTTGAATTCTAACAACAACAACAAAACACCTTTTTCAAATAGATGCATTTTTGTTGTTGTTGTTGTTTTAAGGGTTTGTTTAGCTCACAGTTTGTAGAGGTTTTAGTGCATAATTGGCTGGCTCCAAGGCAGAGTGTCACTTGGCAGAGGGGCCTCACAGGAGAGAAACACTTCATGGTGCCAGAAGGTAGCAAAGCAACAAGGAAACTTAATTTAGTCTTTATGCCTCTTTTATCCCATCCAGACTACTGGGATTATAGCAGTGCCAAACCAAAAACCTGTAGTGGTTTAGTTATCACATGCCTTATATCCCAGCATCACCCATTCCAGATTCAGCCACCTCTGAAAAAGCCCCACTCATCCACATGAGGCTTTGAGGAGACGTCTAAACACAATCTATAACATTCTGCCTCCAGCCTCCCTAAGATTCATGGACAAATTCTTAGCAGTAAATCCCTTTACAAATGAAAAGCAAGTTAAACATTTCCAACATTCAATAGCTCAAGATAGACATTTCCATTCCAAAAGTTACAAACAGGAGGATACAAAGGAATGGGACCAAAGCAAGTCCAAAATCCAACAGGGCAAACTAAATCCCACAATTCCTCTTCCAGCATTCCTGACAAACTGTAGCAATTTGTGAATGCCAAAGGCCTTGGATGGTTCCTTCCATATGGCCCTTCTCGTGGTTGTAGCTTCCATGGCTTCTCTCCTGGGCCGGATCTGCCCCCTCTCAGTTTTCCTAGGCGATCCATGATCCTGGCTTGGGTCTCCCCTGCACCTTTGGCTTCACACTACAGCTTCACATGCTTCCCCCTCAGGGGCACACTGCCTGGCCACCAGGCCTTCTGAAGTCTGGGTGGAAGCCTTCCTGACCCCACAAATCTTGCATTCTGCATGTGCCTAAAACCAGTTCCACATGGATGATGCCAACATCTGCCACCAGCTGGAGCAGTAGCCAGGCTTCTCACTCTTGGCTGTAGGGGTCCAATGCCTATGAACCAAAAACTAAGGATCAGCTTCTCTAGGCTGATAGCACTCTGGAACATGGTGCTAAGGGGCTCCCTTCTCAAAACAAAGTCTTTCGCTTTTCACATGGGTAAAAAAATTGTTTTTTCAGTGCTAGGAATCAAACTCAGCAGGTAAATGTTTTTGTAAAGGGTGAAATTGAAGGAAATTTATGGTGTTTCTGGTTGACTCAGTGAAAGGAAGAGAAGATAACAATTCATTATTTTTAGACAAAAGTTATCCCAACAATTCCTCCAAATAGCCTTCAAAATTCTAAAAAGTCAAGTAAAACCATTGATAATTAAATGTTAATTATAAGTAATATATTAATGATCAAATAATTTATTAGTGATGAAAATTATTTATAATTTTTTAGTGATGAAAATTTTCACGACCTCATCTGCCTGCAGTTTCAAATGAGCTACAGTTATAATCAGATTTTGTTGTCACTCTTCACAACATACCCATAGGATTTAAGCATCACCTTTCTAACACTCAGCCCATCCCAAGTAATAATTAACTATAGTTTGGCAAGGATTCCTCAGGAGCTGTGTGATACATGGGCAGCAATATTCTCCACTGTTTTCTCTTCTGGCTTTGTTCCTATCCACTGCTCACAACCCACTAGAGGAAAGTACCTGGGTATTATAATTGCTAAAGTGACTTCTTTGGAAATGTTTCCCTGCTTAGGGGATTGTCTGTTATTACCTCCCAAACCTGCACAACTTCAATATGTCAAACTACCATGTTTCCTCCACTGTGTCTGTGCATTAAGTGGGGCTCCCTTCCAAATTCCAAATTGCTTGAGACACCTGGGACCCAAAGCAGCTCTAATCACACTGTGGTCTCAGGAATTCCTTTTGAAACAGATTTTGCTTTAGCTCTCTGGTTTCCTGCAGCTCAGCTAAGAAAATGCAGGGTTGAAGAAAGGTACCACATCATCTTGCTGGAGCTGCCCCAAACATGCAGATGTCAGCGAGATCACAGACCGGTCCGGTTTTCAGACATACCACACCCACATTTTTAATATTTTTAACATCCTTGTTCAATATTAGTTTTAACAGTTCAAAATTTTTATATATAAGATTTTTTAAAGTGCAGATGGATAGTTTTAG